TGCTTTGTTTCTTTCATAACGCATGTAATAGGGACTGAGGCATGTAAACAGAAAATCTTATAACCCCAGGATTAAGAAAACTTAAATGCCTATTTTCAGCATGTGAAATAATAGGCTGTTTTCAAAATGCAAAGTTGTAAAGCAGGCTGGTGGGGGAAAAGAAAAAAAAAGCATCCGATTTTCTCGAGAAACAGGAGGAGGGACACAATCCAATATATGCTTCATTATTTTCATGCCTAAAATACTCAACATTGGGCTTGGGTTCTCTGTCCAAACAAAATGTTATGGTCTCTAAAATGTTGCTTCAGAAACCCAATAGTTTTCTTGTTTTTACATACATTTCAATACATTTACATATATTGTAATTTATAGTTGAGAAAGGCCATTTACTTTTAAAAGGTATAGAATTGTAGCTCAAAGGAACAAGTTTTCAATAGGATTTTTCATGTAAATGTCCTTCTTTCTAGTGTTTTGTGGAACTAAGCAATAAAATGCCAGGAGGCATTAGTTTTCTGGGAAGAATGTCTTAGAACTGAAAAGAGTTCACTGAACAAATACAGTGAGGTAAATTGCTGGAGTAAAATAGGATGTCTTAGAATTCTGCCAGTGGGTCTAAGGCAGAGAATGTATTGGTTCAGGCTAGTCAACAAGTGACTGGAAATCTTCATTTTTAATTAATGGCCATATCATTTATTTGTAAAACAACTATGGAAAGTAAATGAGTATATATAGTTTGCTGCCATATAAAAGTGTATATGAGGATGATTATGTAAATACCATAAATTAATGTGATGACAGTGAGATTATTGCTAATTTTTCATTATTTGTTGTTACTGTGTCTGGCATATCATTTTTTAAAACTCTGGAAGGAATAATGCTATGGCTTAGAGTGCTTGCTTTTTAAGCATATGTTTATGAATTTGAGTCCTGGTGTCCTTCCTGCACCTAGTGAATTCGAGTACCTCTGCTCTTTGAGCCAGGCAGCAGTGCTCTTTGCGATCTCTGCCGTCATGTGTTGTTGATAAGCATTCCTTAAGTCAGGAAGCTTAAGAACCACGAAAAGCGTTGAGGCCCCAGTAAGCCCAGCAACTGAAAGTGATGTGTGACCACCATGGCCAGGAAGCATGACCCCTGGCAAGCAGGAGCATGAGCACTGCAGTGACCATTTAGAGAATCACAAACATAACTTCTGTGTCTCAACTAAAAGCATGACCCCACAAGTACTGACACAAAAGGTGAGCAAACCTCAGTGAGCACTGTGAGCCTCACCTCAGTGATGGCCCAGCCCATGTGACTCCTGATCATTACAACAATAATAACAACAAAGGGAAGGAGGAGTGAGGAAAGGAAAGAGTGAAAAACAGGAATACAAACTAAAAAGAGAGTCGCAAAAAACCCTTCCTATATAATATAACAGCTACTGCTCTGTATGGCTTTTTGGATTAAAAATAAATAAAGTGGGCTCGAGAGACACATCGGGTTGATTGAAGCGCTTGCCTTTCAGATTTACCCCAGTTTGATCTCCTGCAGCACCACCAGGAACTCTTAGCACAGAGACAGGAGTAGCCTCTGAGCATTGCCAGGTGTGACACAACCCTATCTCTCCTTCAAAATTAAAAAAGTAAGTAAAGTTCCTCGCTCACCCTAGTGAGTATGTGTTCACTCCCTATGTGTGTTGGTGGTGACCATAATCGACAATACAGATATCATTATCATCCCTATAGAGTTTTGTTGTACAATACTGGTTTATTACTTAAATCCTGTTGTTAGATCAATATTCCAATAAAATCTTTAGAAATTAAAACATTTAAAAATGAGACTAATCTAAAAAATGAGTAGCATTATAAATTACGATGCTAGGAAGCATGTACTGAATGTTTGTGTTCAGCACTATTCCAAGTGCTTTGATACGGATTCCATTGTTATTCTTTTTTTTTTTAATTTTTTGGTCATACCCTGCAATGCTCAGGGGTTACTCCTGGCTCTGCACTAAAGAGTAACTCCTGGCAGTGCTCAAGGGACCATATGGGATGCTGGGAATTGAACCCAGGTTGGTCGCGTGCAAGGCAAATGCCCTACCTGCTGTACTATCACTCCGGCCCCTGTTGTTATTCTTATAAGGGAGTTCTCTTTTTTTTCCTTTCTCTCTCAAGAGTACTCAGGGCACCTGAGGGCCGCTCTTGTGATACTCAGCCCAGAGGATGGGGCACTTCATTGCTAGAGTGTGAGGATGTGGAGGACTCAGGCCCTGTGGTGCTCGGGGACTCAGGCGGTGCTAGACTTTGAGCTGACCGCTGAGCTACCTCCTGGAGCAGTGTGGGATTTCTAAACCTTTTCCCTTATAAGTGAATGAGACCAGTTGTAGTTACTTATAAGTAAAACCTCTAAGACTACTGCCATGATTACATTATGTAAAGATTAGGCAAGGATAGTGATTCGTTTGGGCTGAGGTGTTTCTACTGTCATCTATCTTTTATTTTGGAGGACTCCCCAAGTGTTATTTAAGGGTCCTGAGCCTCTGTCTATGATTATCTACTAACTGAGCCAGTAGGTCAAGATAAGGGCCCACCAAGATAAGTGGTGCTGCTGGGGACTGCTAGGGCCAATTGTAGTGGTGCCTGTGTAAAGCTAGAGATTGAACTGGAGTCAGCTTTAAGTAAGGCATGTGCCCTAACCCCTATACTGTCTCTCTGGGCCCTGTTAGCTATCCTTTAATAATGAGAGATTAAATATGTTATGTAGGTTAAATCACCTAAAGCATTCTACTTATCTCTCTTATTTCCCTAATATTTGTGCTAAGAATAATTCATACCTGCCACAGAAGCAGGGCAGTGGGATGGGGATGGGGGTGGGGGGGTGGAAGGGTTTCTGGGATCATTGGTGGTGGAGAATGGGCACTGGTGGAGGGATGGGTACTCGATCATTGTATAACTGAAACCCAAGCACGAAAGTTTGTAAGTCTACAACTGTACCCCATGGTGTTTCACTAATAAAATTTAAATTTAAAAAATAAAATCAGAAATGAAATAGGAAAAAATTAAAATGATGTTAGTCAAAGAAAAAAAGAATAATTACATATTATGATCTGGGAGAAGGCAGCAAAATTTCATTTTCTCTCAGCTTTGTAACCTTTCTCAACACCCTTTAATAGTTGGTAGAGTTGTTTGTTAACAATCCTGCTATTTTCTTTTCTTACTGTATTGCTGTTCCATTGATTGCCAGATATCTGGGCTAATGGCTCAGCATATCCAAAACTCTCTGCTATCATTTCCCTCAATGTAGTTTTCCTCAAATGTGTGTGGAAATAAAAATGATCGCCTAATGAAGGATAGGCATGGATAACGTACAAGATCTCTGTGTATAATTTCTGTGGCCCAAGAAAATGGAACTGAATGGGGGAGACATAAGTATGTTTGACTTTACCTGGATTTGCTCAAAAGGTACTTCAAAGCTGAATGACTCATTGTAGTAGGGGTTAAGTGTATTCTTTTTAATTGTTGTCTTTTTCTTCTTCAGTCTCTTGCCATTCTGCATCAGGTGAATTTTAACATAAGGATCTGAAATAAAGAGATATAAATGAGGTGATTAGAGACATACTTGTCTGCAAATTCAGTTTACAGAAAAGAATGGGTATTCCCAGCAGGAAAGCAATTGTATAGAAATAGTAAATATCTAGTATTTAAAACACTGTATGTAACACAGGGATAATTTTTAAGTAGCCCAGAGACCATCCCCCCACCCATGCAATATCTCATTTATAGTTGGATTTAGAAGAAAGCACCGTTGTGATAAACCATCTAGCTGGGTAAAAACGTCTTGACATGCGGCATTTTCTAACACCAGTGCCATAAATACTCTCAGCACCTCTGATTTCAAGCTCCTCAATGCTGAATTTACAAAATTCCTAAAAATTTAACACTCTGCTCTTGTGGAGCTAGCAAGGAAACTGCTGCAGCATATGAGGACCAAGAAGTTATTTCATCCATTTTTGCACTTATCTACTGGCCAGGCCCTAGAGATAGAGCAGTGAATCAAATAGATCATCATGATTTCATGATGAAATTTGTGGGGGAATGTATACAAAAAGTTTGAACTGAAATGTAATACACATGAAATTACAAATTGACAAGTATGGTCTTGAAATAAGAACAGATATAATACTAGAGAGAAATGGAGGTATATGGTAAGATGTAGGTGGGCACAGAATTCTGGTTTTTTTTTTTTTTTGCTTTCTACTTTTAGTTTTTACTAATTGTGGGGGAGGCAGGGTTTGGCAATTGGGACACACATTAGCATTCAGATACTACTTCCAGTTCTATGCTCGGGGTCACTCCCAGGGGACCATGTGGTTCTGGGGATGGTACCAGATCTGAAACTTGCCAAGCATGCACTCATCAGCTCTTTGAGTTAGCTTTTTGGTAAGGTATAGAATTCTTAGACTGTTTAGGTAGTGATTCTCTGTGTAGGTGTAAAGGTTAAAAGGTGGTTTGCGTGTGTATGTGAGAGTGAGAGACAGAGACAGAAAAAGAGAGACAGAGAGACAGAAAAAAAGTGAGAGACAGAGATAGAGACAAAAAACAGAGTGAGAGAAACAGAAAAAAAGAGAGACAGAGATAGAAAGTTATGCCTTAACTCCCATTTGTAAGTAAGGATACCTTGGGATTTAAAGAATATAGTATACATGGGGAAATAAAACCTGAGGATAACATTCCCACGTCATTCTCCCCAGAGCCTCAGCAGACAAAGGTCAAGTGTTCAGTCACTGGAGTGGGACCCCATTTAGTTACTTTACTGTTGAGTGAATGACCTTCGTCTGGTCATTGGAATCGATGCCTGGGATTGATAACAAAACGTCTACACTTTCTTAAACTTCCCCCCCCCCCCATTTATTTAAATTTTCGCCCAAACAACCACTAAGCATTTATTTGGAAGAGTGATGGGAAACCAAAGTCACGGGAACTTGGCCCTCCTAGGTCTTCTAGTCTAGAACTAGGGCTCTCCTAGTCTAGAACTGGGTCTTCTAGGGAACGGGCAGCGCCAGGGTCTCGGGCAGCTCGTCGCCTGCCCAGTTTGGCCATCAGGTCTTTGGCCGGATTGAAGAGCCCGTAGGTTTGCTTGTCGCAGACGTAGCAGCGCGGGCTGGTGCGGAAATGCCGCAGCGCGCAGCTCTCGCAGAAGTAATGCCTGCACTTGGTGACCACCGGGTTCTGGAAGGTCTGGCGACAGATGAAGCACTTGAAGGGGATTTCCTCCGGCGGGGGGTTCTCCACCTCGTAGCTGTCCTCAGCGGCACCGTAGCGGCCCTCGTGCAGCTCGCGTTCTATCTGCCAGCCGTGCTTATAGTCCGAACGGTCGTGGAGGAACTTGCAACTGTCCCCAAAGCCGCAAAAGCCCGTCTCTTTGTAGTCCTTGCAAATGTCGGGCTGGTAATCCCAGCGCACGGTGGCCCGCAGGTGCTCGGGGGCGCGGATGGGCCCCTTCCTCACCATGCCCGAGGACGCGTTGCCCATCGACATGTCTTTGGGCTGCATGTACTTGTGATAGTTATTGATGCCCCGGTAGATCTTGTCGTCTTCCTTGCCCCTCCGCTCCTCCTGGATCTTCTGGCTGCGCTCGAAGATGGCCTGGGCGTCCCTCTCCCTCTCCGTGTCCTGCTGGAAGGTGGCCGTGGCGCCCATGTCCTCCGGCCCGGCCGGCTTGGCCGAGCGCGTGGACTGGTACACCACGCCCACACTTTCGGCCTCGGCCTTGGGCTCGCAGCTAGTCCAGTGGCAGCATGATGCCCTTTTGGGACCACCGCCACGCATCTTCTAACGTTCCCAGGCCCGGCCTCTTGGCCTCCCCAGGAGAAAGTAAGTGGCCGTGGTCCTCGTAGGCTTCTTGCTGCCAAACGGCTGGGTCACGAGGATGCGCGTGGCCGTGGGCACGTCACTGCAGACGCCGCAAAACTGGCTTCCGAAAGCAGGCCAGGCTGCACAAGCGAGCGAGGGTCTCTTGCGAGACTGCGTGTCTTAAAAACTTTGAACTTCCTCTGCAGTGCGCATTCAACATAGAAAAAAAAAATACCAGAGCAAACAGAAGAAGTACTTCCCATCATCTGTGATTTTTACTCCCTTAAAATAACCATGACTGTGAACCTTCAAGCCCTTCCCCTTTTAGAACATGTAGAATTGGTAGAATATTTACAAAATAGTTTGTCTAATTTTTAGGAGATATTTTTAGGAGATAAAGTGTTAGATCAGAACAGGTTGCCTTCAATCTACTTTTCTCTCTCCTATAATTTATTTCCTTTAAGTAAATGACCAGGAAGTGGATTGCTGGATCATATAGTAGTTTTCTGTTTGATTTTTCCTAGTGTCTGCACGAATACAACACTTACACCAACAGTGCACCAGCCTGCCATGTCTCCAATAACCTTGCCAACTTTTGTTATCTTGGTCTTTGGAAGAATAGTCATTCTACCAGCCATTCATTTTCTAATGAGTTTCGTTGTTTTTCATGATGATGTTGGCTGTCATGTCTTTGGGAAAAGTGTCTATTTAGATCTTCTCCCCAACTTGGAATCATATTCCCTGTGGGTTTCTTTTTTGGGGGAGGAGGAAAAGTAGGAAGGTTGGGTCACACCTGAAAGTACTTAGGGAACCACTTGTGGTGCCAGAAGTGAGAACAGGGCTGGCTGCATGCAATGTAAATGCCTAAGCCTCTGCACTATCTCTCTGCCCTTGCCTTTTTTTGTGCTATTGAATGGAATTTTATTTATTTAGTTATTGTATTACATTAAAATATTGCAAAGTATTTCAAAATATTTCATTACATTTACTATTCGAACACCAATCCCACCACCATTACACATTCCCATCATCATATTTTGGAATTTTCCATCCTGAACCCCAACCCCTGCCCCAAAGCAGAACCGAAATAATTATTTTGTATTGTGTTATGAAAAACCGCTGAGAATGCTACAAAAAAGTTTCCTTATAGGAAAGAGTGTGAAAATCATTGTATTTCACCTAGGGGCCATTAAGTCCTTCTATAAGAGATCACTAGCATGTTAAAGGTTGTGCCTTGTGTGAATATACATATGTATATATAGATGCATATATATATAGAGAGAGGGGGGGATGGAATTTTAAAAACAAATGTATTTTAGATGTTAGTTCCTTCTCAGTTATATGTGGTTCTGGGGAATCAAACCCAGGTCAGCCACATGCAAGTCAAGCAAGAGTCTTATCCACTTTTCTAATGTTCTGGCCTCCTCAAAAGTTGATTTGCTTGTTTGGTGCTCAGGGCTCATCCATGAATCTGTACTCAGGGTTCACTCCTGGAAGTGTTCAGGGGAACATATGGAGTGCTGGGGATTTAACCTGGTTTGCATGTCTTACCCATCTGTGATACATCTCTGCCCTCCACCAGAAAAGCATAAAACCAGCAGATTCTAGCTATATTTAGATGTTTCAGGATAGAAGGTAGAATTATGACCACACTTGTTGATGCTCAGGGATGACTCTTGGTTCTGCAATTAGCAATCACTCCTGGCAGTGCTTGGAAGATCATAAGGGATGCTGAAGATGGAACCTATGCTGCACGCAAGGAAAACCCTGACCCACTGTACTATCTTTCCAGCCCTAGATGAGAATAATTTTTAAAGATCCATTATGAATTTTATTGTAAGAATAAAACCATGTATAATAGTGTCCCCTAATGTCAAAGAGATAGTGCAGGGAATAAGGTGCTTGTCTTGCATGTAGCCGATTGTGGTTTGATCCTCAGTAATGTTTAGGGCCTCTTAAATTCTGCCAGGGGTAAACTCTGAGTGCACAGATCTAGGAATATTCCCTCAATATTACTTAGAGTATTAAAAAAACCCAAAATTACATTATAGACATTTATAGTGTAAGTTACAGGTTATGTTTCAAAAAATCTCCTTCCTGCCTTTCTGCTTTTCCTTTCCCTTCTTTCATGTACCTTACTATACTCAGGGCTTACTCTTAGCTCTGCTCAGACATTACTGCTAGTGTAACTCAAGGATTATAGAGCATGGCAGGATCTACCCCACATTTGCTTCCTGTACTGTGTCTTTGACCTTCATATTCAATTCTTACAGCACCATTGAAGGAACTGGACACTAAAGAAAAGCTAAATTTTACAAGAAAAAAATTAGGGTTTTCTGATAATGAAGTTGAGGTTCTTTGTGAAAGCTGGAGAAACAATTTAATAGAGAGTTTACAAGTACAAAATCTGGAACCAGACCAACTAGAATATAGGTTCTGCTACAAGCAGTGTCATCTTGGACATACCTATTTAACTTCTTTGTGATAATTCCTTCAATTTAAAGTGGTGATAATAATACCTAGTTCACAAAGTTGTAAAGATAAAATTGAATTATTGAGAGCTAGGGATGGCTCCGTGATCAAGGGCGTGCTTGCTTATTTGAGTTCTGGGTTTGATCTAGCATCATCAAACAAAACAACTAAAAGGACACTAACTTCTCCTTCCTCCCTCCACACAGCTGTTGGTAACCATGACCCCAACAAAAATCATTAACTTTAACTATGGAACTATATGGAATGGGCCCTACACATATTAATTATTATCATGGTTTTATGAATGGAGGCACAACTGAGTCAACATCCACATATAAAATTCTTCCCTAAATCACTTCATGAAATCATGTTCATTACTGCCAAATGAGAGAGAGACAGAGAGGAGGGAGGGATGGGGAGAGAGGGGGAAGAAGAGGAGGAGAGAGGAAGAGAAGGGTAGACAGGGAGAGAGGGACAGAAGTGAGGGAGAGAGAGGGAGGGAGAGAGAGATTATCCATTTGCTATACAAGTTGGTCAAGTTTTCTACAGTGCCAAATTTCTTTCTGGAAAATTGTATACCCACTCTAAACAACTGGTTCCTTAATGAGGATCTAATCACATGCAAGATAGAGAGAAAGGGAGAATCCCTTTCATTATGAGAATCTGAGGTGGTTCTGAAGTGTGAGAGTGGGAGCTAATTCAACAACTTGAATAGGTTTCTCCCATTTCTTTTCTTTTTTTTTTTTTTGATTTCTCCCATTTCTTAAGTCAATAGATCAACTTACACAGAGCTTAAAAGTTAAAAAAAAGAATATTAAGTAGAATTTTATTCCTAAGGCTCTAGGATAGTATGAATAAAAACTAAGATTTACTAAGCTTTCTTTCCAGAGGTCTAATGTTGATACACTCTGGAATATTATATATAAAGAGTGTACTTTCCTTATGCTTACTGAAATGAGGAACAGTGCTTATTGAAATAAGGAGGGAGCTTAATAGTCTGGAGTGTACAATTTGCATGCTGAGGTCCTGGTTTGATTTGCCACAGTAGCTTCTTAGCACCTCTGAGTGTCTAGAAGGTTTAATAGCTTCTCTTTTAACCATGAGAAAATTTTCTGTTACATTCCTTTTACTCTGAGAAAAATTTATAGTCTAGTTTCTACTTAGCCTTAAAATTCTCTCTCTCTTTCTTTCTTTCTTTCTTTCTTTCTTTCTTTCTTTCTTTCTTTTCTTTTCTTTCTCCTTCCTTCCTTCCTTCCTTCCTTCCTTCCTTCTTTTCTTCTTTCTTTCTCAATCATCTCTGCCCAGAGTGAGAAATAGAATATAATTCTGTTGAAGTTATGATAACATGATCATAATTTTCTTAGTAATTTTATTATTATTATTATTATTATTATTATTAGGTGAGGAGCACAATCCTAACATTGCTAAGAGGGCCCAATCAATGCCAGGGATCAAACCCAGGGCCTCACATATGCAAGGCCTGTGTACCATCAGTCTCACTTACTGTGTCTTATCAGCAAAACAGTGGAGGCCTGGAAGCAGTGATAACACTCAGAACAGAGTGCAAGCATCCCAACTCTGTGGCCAGATGAACTATCCCACTGGCTATTTTCAAGGATCAGATTGTTTGGTTTAGTGAATAGCTCCAATTTTATGAGCAATTCTGAAGGTAGAAAGTACAATTATACAGCTCTGTTAGTCTCGCGGTCCCTTCTGGATATATAAATTCATGGTGGACAGCCTGTGTGGTGGAACCATTCCTTTTTCACTTTGCATGAATTTTGGGTGAGATATCTCACATGTATCTCTCACATCAATTGGTATTTGTTTCTTCTCTGCGTTCTCGGAATTCATCAATTCTTCTTTCAATAACCAATTCCTAGTAGGTGGATCAGGCCCTGATATTGTAACATTTAGCTCTAGGTAAAATGAGCAATCACCTACCCCTTCAGACATTATATCCTAGTCCACTGATCTCCATTCCATATCCCCTAGATACACTCTTGGGGTTGTTGTTTTTCAGTGAGGGAGAAATAGGGTCATGAATAAAGACTTAAGCCTCTTTCTCCTGCTACACAGATACTGTCCTCTATTAACAACTATAATGTGCAAAGGTTTGGTTGATTTTATGATTTTCCCTCTTTTTATAGAGAACTGGATTTTATAGTCTCTGAGTCTTGGCCATTGATGGGATTACACGGCGCCAGGGGGCCAGGTGGTGGGTGTCACCCCCGCCTACTGGAATTTGGAGGATCTGGGTGGAGGATGCTCGACTCCAATCCGAGTAGGCTGGGAGATCTCTATAAAATCCAGCTCCCGGACGAGAACAGTGCAGTCTGCCCCCGCGCCTGGCTGTTCCTCGCCGGGGCCCCTTGGAGGGGAGCGGGTTGAGCTTTCCTCCCCGCCCCGACCAGGGCTCCGGCAGCCGAAGACCTCCAGGACCAGCCACCACCATGCTGAGACCACTCTCCGCACACATGAAGGTACTGGCAGAGGGACAAATC